GCGGGGGGGCGTCAGGAGCAAGGCACAGCCATGTGAACAACCCCCCCCCCCCGCGCCCAGCTTTGCCTGTGCACGTGGCTGCGGGTACAGAAGTGCAAATGGAGCTGGAGCAGAGGGTTTTGCTGGCCCAAAGTCTCAGCTCTTACACCGCCATTTCCACCATGCACGTGGTCCCCTCTTGGGCTGGGGTGCAGGATGGCTTGATACAGAAAACCTTGCTGTGAGGAGCACCCCTGGCATTCATTCACTGTGTCTGTCCTGACTGCATGGAAAGCTTTTTGAAATTGCTTTCCAAATCAATTCCCAGTAACACTGTGGTACAAATTGCACGTTGCTTGGGTATTATTAACATTGCATAGGCAGCCTTTGGACCAGCCACACTTCAAAAAAACCAGAGGAATTTGCCAATTTTCAAGTCTTTAGGTAAGTGGTGGAACTAGAGACAAGCAGACATGCAAGAAAACACTGGCAAGTGCCTGTAACCTCTGCTAAAAGCTTTGGCTGACTGTCTCCCCGCTAACCCAGTTTGCCATCAGTATGGGGAATGCTTTTAAGCTACCAGAGAGCTGGAGAACAGCCCAGCTGTGAGAAGACAATTAACTCTGTCCCCCAAAATATGGGTCAAATCATATGGAGAGGGGTGCATTTTAATATGCATCCCTCCATCATGTGTTCCAAGAGGCTTGTGAACGGCGCTAGAAAATGTGGTACCCAAGTGCCTGAGCTGAGCTTACCTGTCTCCTTCCCCATCAGTCTCTGAATATAATGGGGAATTTTGGAATGCAGGCGACGGGATCCTCTTACCACTAGCCCTCTCACGTCCTTCTGTATTGCCGCAACGGCTGTTATCTTCAAGCCTAGGGGAGAGACACGCAGGCTTTGGTGAGCACGGAGCATGCAAGGAAGATGCCGTGGTGCCCCATGTCTCTGCTGGAAGTTCATTTGCAGCTAAGACCAAGACTACCCTATGCATGACACAATGCAGGAGGAAAATAGATGCATAGATGTGACATTTCCAAGGGAGCACCTCCCAATGGGATGCCCATCAGATGCAGACTTAGCATCTCCTTTAGGACCCTCTTTTCTGCCTGTTTTTCCCAAGGTCGGAGGGGAGGCGAGCGGTGCTTACCGGGCAGGCGGCGGAGGTGGTCGTGGGCGATGCCACAGCACAGCTTGACAGTGGCCCGCAGCATGGCACAGGAGCAGGGCTGCCTCTGGGAGCATGCTGCATCCCAGCGCGCCTTTATAGCCGGCCTGAAGGACGGCACCTGATGATAGGACCGTGCTGCCAGATAGCAGCTGGGAATAAGGAGTACTCAAGGACAAGGCAAGCGAGAGGAGGGGCCGGAGGGAAAGGCCACGCTTCCCTCTGAATGAGCAGTCCCTGCCTTGCCTCCTGCCCTGGGCAGGCGGCTGTGAATGAACGCGTCCCCAGGACACAGCTGAGATGGGACACTTTAGTGGTCCCCAGTGCCACTTGATCGAGGACGGTGGTGGCAAACCCAAGCTGGCAAAGGCAACCGGGGGCCCTTGCATGGCGGGAAGGATGGGGTGGGAGTTGAGCACAACGTGGCTTTGCTCTCGGGGAGTGTGGAAGCTGCTGTTAAAGCCATGCTCATGGAAAATGGTGCTTCTTCCTATGGAAACTTCATAGAAGTTATGGTGGTAATTGCTGCTGTTGTAACTCCTCAAGTAACTCCTTATTTTCCTCTTTCCTACTTTACTCCCTCCTAATCATCTCCTGTAGACCTCTGTCGCTCACAGTGATGGTGGGACCACTACATCTTTTGGCATGAAGTTATTCAGTCCTTTCCCTTGTGTTTTTAATGGCCCCTCTTAAAAGGTTAAACACAAAACCTACGAGGTCACTCCTTAAAATACAGCCACGCTGTATTCCTCTGGCCCTTTGCAATACCTGCTTTTTCAAGTGCTTTGAAAACCTCACTTCATTTTTACCATGGAAAGGCTCTTCTGCCTGTATGTACCTAAGGGGTTGGATGCTTCTGTTTCACTTAGCATCACTACAGCTCGGTTTACCTTCAGTCTCTGGGGCTGCAACAGCCAAAATATTTAGGCAAGGAGGCCAGGAGGGCTTTTTGGCTTTAAAAGGGATAGGAGAGACTTCAAGGCTTGCAATCTGGTGTGGTTGCGGCCAGCAGGTTTCTTGCTGGAAAGGGAACAGTCCTTCTGTGGCTGCCGTTGCAAGCACTGCAGGCAGCTGCCTGCAGACCCCTGTTCCCTGGCAGCTCTGGGGCTGTCACAGCAGTGATGGGGACAGTCTGGTGAATCCATACAGTATTGCATGTTGATTTAATAAGTGTATTATTAGGAGTGGAGTAGCAAGAGAGATGCCTGTGGATGGCTTTTGGGCATGGCAGAATAACTGCAGCGCAGGGTAATTGAGTAAGTAGGAAAAGCGGTGGTAGGAAATGACTGTTTTCACCCAAAGGTGATGGAGTTAAATACGGTTATTTGTTCTTTCTGACTCACGGTGCTGGGTCTCTTCGGATGAGTGCTCGCTCCCAGGAGCAGCCCTTCACCAATGGAGTGACCCTTGCAGCCTGCCTGGCATCCCGGCGGCTGAGAAAAGCAGCAGCCCCTGCCAGTGCCGGGAGATGGGCCAGAGCAGGGGCTTGTCCCCATGTCAGCCTTCACAGCCTTGTCCCACACAGGAGCTGTGGGCTCCTGCTGTCTCTCCAAACACCTTCTGTGCTGCTAATATCTTTTTTCCTATAGCAAGCATCGCATCCCTTCGATATTCCCACTATTGGCAGAGAGGGAGTGGGTGGAACAGTTTCCTAGGAAAACTTCAGCTTTTTTCCCATAGGTTTTGGCCCTGCTCTGCCAGAGGGTTTTATCCCAGCCCTGGGGACTTGTTGGCTCGGCTTAGCTAGTTCCCAGGCTCCCCGCCTGGCTCACCAGCCTGAGCCCTGGGTTTTTCCCCCTGGCTTTTTCTGCAGGGATAACCTCATGGCACAGCCACTGTGGCTTCCACAGCTGTATCCCATTGCAGCTTCACAGCTTTCTCCCTCCATTCCCGATTGCTGGGCAGGTTATAACAGCAACCCCCTGCCAGCTGCTGCTCCTCAGATGCTTCGCTGCTTATTTGCAGTCTGCTCCAGGGTGACTTCATATGCGGTGGCACCCAGATAAGTGTCTGTGTGTATGTCCCGTGCTTGCAGGAAAGCCTTGCAGCTATGCCTGTGTGATGCACGTGGCCCAAAGCAGCTGCAAGCTTTGCAGCAGGGGTTTGGGAGGTGCACTGTAGCCCAACTGCAGCTCTATGGGAGATTTGTTACTGCCAGAGCTCTCTGTTCAGTGCTGGGATTTACACTGCTGCTTTGGTGAGTTGCAAACCACTTTTTATGGATTTTTCACAGGGTCTGGGGAGTCACTGGGGCCCAGCAGTTAGGAAATACAATACTTTTTTTTGCAAGTTGCCTAGGAAGGCGAGAGCAGTGGCTGATAAGAGATCTGCTCCAGTGCTTAAACCTGTATCTCCGCTAGCTCCCAGGGAGAGCTCGTCCCTGCCAATGGTCTATCCTCTCACACACGTTCCCCTCACTTTTGCGCACACTTCCTCATGTTAGTTTTGTCTCTACAGAAAGCTGTAATAGACAGGCAGATAATGTTTTATCACCCCATTTGGTGAGTGGTGTCCATATGCTCTCCTGAGGGCTGTACGAGATGTCCTGGGAATACTGTGACTTACAGGGGAAAAGAAAATATGAAAAATTGCCTGTGATGGCAAGCCTGGTGGCCAGGAGAGGATGACATTGCCACATGAGACCCCAGCTCAGAGTGGTGAGGGGATGCCATAGGTCAGCCCTGGTCCATCACCTGCTAATGCAAAGGTCCTATGACCTTGGGTGCCTGTTGTGGGACGCCCCTGGGTGCAGGGTGCTGTGCACCCAGTCCCTGCCTGGCTGCAGCAGAGTGGTTTTGGCCTGACATCTTCACCAGGTTTGGCTGCAGCCACTGGAGGTCACTGCTGACCTGCAGCTCCACAAGCAAAGCCACTTTTGGAGAGGCAGGTAGGAGCCCTGTTCCCAGGTGCTGGCTCTGGGCTGCTCTGCCTCCTGTAAAATCCCTGGGAGCTGCGTGGTTGCTGGCACGTAGGACCTCCGCTAGAAAGAAGATCTGGCACGCCCAACCTTCCCCAGTTATCCCTTTCTCCTGCTCCTGGATGCAAGGACCCTTTGGGGACCCATCACTCCCAGTTGCACAGCTCAGTGTAGGACCTCCTGGGAGGGATGCTGGCTCAGGGAACATCCTACAGCTCCCGAGCAAACAGCACTGCCAAACATGAGATGTAAAGCCTGTAACCAGCGCTTTGGGAGGTAAAGGAAGAATTTCAGCAGCTAATTCTTCCCTCGTTGTTCTTGTCAAATAGTCTCTAATGAAGTTAGCTAGTAGGAATAATGTACCTTTGAAGGAGGATGCTCTTTACTTGTTTCTCCACTTCGTGGCCAAGACCCTTTCTGCCTCCTTTGACCAAGGTGGCTTGGTGTCCCACGCGGTGTTGCACTCCAGCTCTGTGGGTGCAATACAGTCAGCGCTGGGGGGGTTGGGGCTGAAAGGTCCATTCTAGGAGCATTTGGAGCCATTGCCAAAGAAATGGGTGATTTTACAGAAATGCCCGTGTCCCTTCACTGTCTTTTGCTGTTCGAGCATCCAACCAGAACTGGAAAAAAAATATCCAGAAGGGACCTGGGAAACTTTAGGGTTCACTGGCTCAGCAGAAGATCAATACTTCCAGCAGCAATGCAGACTGGTAAAAATCCCCATTGAGATGTCCTCACCATTTCCAAGGGGGCTGGAAACACATTTCCAGCTCCAGTCCCAGCTATAGCACCTGGCCCCTGTGGCAGGACAAGTATCATCCTTCAGGACTAGTAGTTCAATCAATTTAGGGTAACACACTTGCTCAGCGTTTAAGTAAAACCTGGACTAAAATCTTTTGGGGTTTCCACACCCCCTGAACACTGATGTCTCCTCGTCTGAGGTAGTGAGCAAACCTCACTTATTTGTTTAGGGCAAAACTGATCTGCTACCTGCTGTAAGAGCTCATCCATCATATTATCGTCTCCCCACCCCAAGGGGTAAAAGGGTGGTGTTTTCTGATTTAGCCTGTGTAATGCAAACCTCAGCTGAATGACAAATCTGCCTCTCTAAATCTCCTTAAGAGAAGGAGAAGGGGGAAAGAGAGCAATGGAAAAGGTCCTAAATGGCAGGCGGGTGCCTTCTGGCTTTGGCTGAGGAGAAAATGTTGAGGCTGAGAAAGGTTTTGGGTCCAAATAGTCCTCCCCAAACACCTGGCAGAGCAGTGTGGTTTTGGATGTGGATTAAGGCTTGTGCAGGTCTGTAGGCGGTCACAGGGGAGGTGCATGCCAGCAGAGATTATAGCAACTCATCAGCATGTAAAACAGTCTGAGTCAGCCCAAACCCTGACCGTGAAACAAAAGGAATGGGAAATAATGGGATGCTCCGTGGGGAAAGGGTGAAGATGGGGAGCTAGCGGGACTCAGAGCTGCTATCAGCAGCTCTGCAGAAAGCTGAGCAATGCAACAAGGGCGATACGGGCTCCCTCCTCCCACGGTCACGCAGGGATCCTCCTGTTCAGACCCGAGGGCAAGTCCCAGGGCAATTATTCTCCATGTCCTTGGGGCTCGCTCTGAGCAAGACTGCTCTGTAATCAGCAGAGCCTTGATGCAGAGGAAGCCCTGATTTTAAGCAAAGTCTTGGATGGCCTCCAATACCTTTGCAGAAGTTGGCAGGAGAGGATAAGGCGGCACCTTCAGCCCCATGGCTGCCGTCATCCGTAATGGTGCTCTGGGGGTTTCTGGGAGCAGAGGTAGCTCTTGTGTCCCTGTCTTGCAGCCCTGATGGGGCATTTAGCTACGCATCTCTGGGGCACCCTAAATATGGACCTAGAAAGCAGGTCCCTTGGGAGCATGACTTTATTTAAAGGTAGCTTTGGCCCTGGTGTTCTTGCTGCAAGTGCCTGTGCTATGGGAGCTGCTGTCTGCCTCTCTCCTCTTCCCATCTGTGTGTCCAGAAAAGTTAAGAGTCAAACAGAGAAAATATAAAAATACATGGCATTTATTTCCGTACATAACCAAAGCACTCGTCATTAGTGTCTCCAGATGGAAAACCAGACAAGTCTTTTTCTCCCAAACCAGGAGACTTGGTG